CACCCTTACCGAACTGCGCTTAGCTGCGACCAGTATATGTGGAGGAGGTGTAGACGAACATTTTGAGCTATTTTTCATGTTGATATCTATTGCGCGGAGTTGCGCGCGTGCATTTTTATGAGGTCACCTTTTTTTTGTTCCAGGCAATGTATTGAGCATACCAAATCAAAAACATAATCTATTTTAAATGACTAGTAAGTCTTTTTTAATTGTCTTTATATTATTATCACATTGTTCGGTTATAGGCTCTACTTTTTCTATTTTCGTTTTCAATGACATATTGTCGATTGATCGCGTTCGTTCCGACGATTTAAGTTTTACTTCTAAACTATGCATTGTTGATTGAAGTTTTATTAGCGTTTCGTTTAATGTTTGGAATTTTGAAGGGAATAGATTATTAGTAGCTTTTAACATTTCATATTTTCGCTAAAATTTAGTGTACTTTTTTCAAGTTTATTCATTTTTGATCCTAACGTTGTTTGTATCTCATTTGTATTTGTTGTAAATTGATTATCAGCAAATATTTTGAGACGAAATCGTAATTGATTATGACCATTGCCTAAAATTTTTTGCCAATGCTTGAATTTTTTTATTGGAATTTTTTAAACTGGTTTTATTACATGATACCATGGATATCACTGCCATTTTTCCCTGGTCCATATTAATATTTTCTATTATGTTAAGTTTATTCTGGATACGGTCTAATTTTGATGTTAGTAAGTCTTGACTTCTTCTAATTTGGGATATGTCTTCTCGAAAGTCATCGTTAATTATGTTTTTTAGCTTAAGCATGTCACTTGTTAGTTCAACTTGCAGGAAATATTGATTATTTGATGTTTCTTGTACATTCTTAATTGTTTGTTCTAACATCTTTGAATGTTTGTTCAAACTTATCGTTTGACTTTTGTACCATTTCTTGTCTTACTGTCTCCGAAAAGCATTTTGAAGAAAATTTTCGTTGACAAAGTTGTTCAGGATAAAGCTCTTCATACCCTAAGCGGAGCACTTTTTTCATTTTAATAGAAAAATTTTGAAATAAATTACAAATAAAAAATTTTTAGCTTTAAATTTACTTAAAATTTGTGTAAATTGCATTCCTTTCAAAATTTTTCCACTAAAATGACAAAAGTGCTCCGCTAAGGGTATGAAGAGCATTATCCTGAACAACTTTGCCAACGAAAATTTTTCTTTAAAATGTTTCGTTGTTTTTGAAATGCGTGCATAAGGTCGTGTACCAGCTAATGAAAAAGTCGAATTTTCATGCAAGAGCGATTTCACCTAATATAGCTTTTCACTAGGTTTTTGAATTTTTTCCGAAAAACCAACATTGTCACGAGACTCAGCGTGGTGGAGAACCCGTGTTTCCATTCATTTTAGAGATTACCACACCTAAGGAAATATCTGTCCTGGGACTTGGAGAAAATCCGATGGCGCTCCTGAATCACGGAAGATTAAGACCTCGCTTAGTTCCTATTTTGTAGAGAACATTTTACGCTAACATATCTATATGCGAAATGCAGGAGGCCCTCTGGTAGATCTTGGAATTAGGATCTACTCTTTCATAGACTAATAAGGTATACCACCTGCAGGTGGTATTTTCTAAGATATTTTTATGTCAACTTGTAGCTAATTATCTTCTCTATGCAATGCTGAAAACCGCAAGTCTTCGAAGTGCGCTGTTCAAAAGTTATTAAAGAAATAGCTACCGGCATTCGTTTTTAATAATATATGGGCTGTTAATTAATATAACAGTCCATATATGAAAAAATCTCGAAAAAATCCCACATCCATGACAAATTAAAAAACCAAATACAGGATTTCGTAGCGCTTGAGCAGCTGATTCAAATGATGTATTGTTCGTTATATTTGGGCAAAAGAGGTTGAAGAAAAAAAGAATCCAAACGACCAGACTACACTGAACTGGCATCGGTTTTAGAGAAAAAATTTATAAATAGTCTATTAGCTAGATATTTTTTCGTTCTTTTTTACATACATAATAACTACGAGTGATTGTGCATCTAAACATAATTGAATCACATTTTTGTCATTATCCCTGAATGACTTATGAAATATCGAAAATCGGCCACTAGACGGAAAACTTTGACCAAAGTCCAACGTTAAAACGTTCATCATTCCACCAATATTCATAGGACCGCCGAAATTTCTTGAAGATACATAGTACTCAACGCACTCTACAAACTGACATAATTTGAGGACAGGTTTGTGGGTGGTTTCACTTCTAACTTTGCCAATAATGAATTTATAACTGGTGGACAACGTTTTTCTTCGTAGTTACAATTAAACGGACATTTATTTTGGCAATTTTTTTGAGAAAGCCATTGACTGATACATTTTTTACAAAATGTTGCTTCACATATCTTGCATGAAACAGGCTTCCGCAAAAGATAGCGACAAATAGGACAAACAAGTTCTGTCTGCAATCTCAAATCGATAACTCGATCTGTATCAATAAAATTATCATTTGACATAGTTTCCATTAGGTTCTAAAAAAATGAATATTTGTTGTTGTAAATATTTCGTTTATCGTAGAGTCCAAAATGTGGTTAAGAGGAAGCAAACTTATATGAAACGTTAAGAGAATCCGTCAAAACTACGATCTAAGCATTCGTCGAATAATGTAAAGTGCTTCTCTCCGATGTTTATGTAAAAGAAAAAATCTATAAAATCTATCTTTAATTCTTTATTTTATTTATTCTTTTCCACATATTACTTTTTATTAGAGAAAGATGTGTTTTTGGTTACCATATTAATTTGTAGGCGGACAACAAGAAGAATATAAATAAAGCATATACAACAAGAAATATGAATAGAACAAAGTTTAGTTTAATTTCTTTTAATTCCCTTTGATCATAATGGTTTTGTCAACTTAGAATAGTAGCAAATAACGTCCCTCAACTGTACACGACACCACCAAAAAAATGTTGAAGCAGAAATGGAAACTGTTACATACAGATAGATCGTATGATGAAGCGAAAGAACATGTAAGAATACAGTTTAATGCTTCTAAATATCGTCGATCAGATATAAAAATCCATACAAAATATTAGTTCAAGTGTAGTGAGTATAGAAGTATACGTTTTCTTCTTTAGATCAGATAATCGTGACGGGTAGTAACCCACTATCAGTGACGGTCAAGCTCAGAAATGTGGATGAACATGAACAAGAAGAACGCAAGCCCACAACACGCTTACCATCACCCATTCGGAAATTGGAACAAATGTTAACAGATTGGTCAGAAGCAAGTATTTCATCACTATTTGGTGCTGCTGCAAGCATATCTAATATGGAGTTGCATGCTTACCAATGGTCAATAAGTATAAATTGATCTGATATTTTACATTAGTTTCATACATTTTATGTTGTTCCATCATCCACAGCACCAATAACAACATCGGTTTGGTTGGATTTGTATAAATCTGGCCAGTGGGCATCATATGACTATGTTTTGGAATGGCATCATGTTGAGTAGGCTCCCCGCTGCCACCGTGTACGTGTCCAATTGGCCGTAAACCATGTACGCGCAGACACTCCGTTCGATTAGCCATTTTATTCAACATGTATCAGGTTACGGACAATACTAGTTGTGAACCATTGGGTAAGAGAAAAAGTAAAGTTTGTTCGAAAAAAATTCGTACAGCCTATTTGTCATAGAGTTAGTTGTTTTCTATTCTGTTCATATTTCTTGTTCTATATATTTTCTTTATGTTCATATTGTAGTCCGCCTACAAATTAATTTGATGAGCAAAAATGTTGATACTCTTTTTATTAACTCTTATATATCGCACATCAAAGAAAACATGAAGAAAAAATTGGAATGCTCGTATATGATTTTGTATGATCGAATGTCAAAGATTAAAAATATCCATAGATAGAGAGCGGAACAAATTTTTGTCAACTCAACTTTAATCTCAAGAAATTGAAAAAAATTTTTTTTTTCATTAGCGCCACCTTTTTCATCATTGTTTGGATTAATTAAGAGGAAAATTGAGTGTAGTTAGTGCCAGAAAACGAGTTTTGGCGGCTTTTACAGTGACTAAAGCGTTTTAAAAGTTAAAGTCATGAATATAAGAGTTCAGAAATTCACTTTTGCAAGGTTTGTCTTGCGAACACAGTTGTAACTTAAGAGCTTTTGTTGTAGAGGTTGAAACAGCTGTTGGCAGGATAGAAAACTGTGTAACGGCGAACTCTAACAAGAAGAGAAAGAAAAAAGAAAAGTAGTTAACCCAGAGTATTAAGTAAGTGGCCGCCAAAACTCATTTCTGGCGCTAACTACAGTCAATTTTCCTCTTAATTAATCAAAACAATGATGAAAAAGGTGGCGTTAAGGAAAAATTTTTTTTCAAATTGTCAGGATCTTGAGTCAAACTAATTGAGAGTGACAAAGTCTTGAGTCAAGACCATCAAAATATCTTGATCTTGATCTGTGCCTAGATTCCAGTGATTTAAGCCTCTTATCACTTCTTTTTCCAGAGTTATCCTTAAATTGGTGATTAAAAGTATGGTTTTGTACTTGCAAGATTGCGCCGTCATTTTTCGAGCTAGAAATTTCGGGTTGATTTCAAAAAATGGAGAAATGTTTTTTCTATGTCATGACGTTGTTGGATTTTTCAATTTAACTCTCGTTCAGGAGAAATTTAAAAGATTTTCGAAAAGTCAATAAAATCTCTCTAACTTTTGAGAAACGTTTTAAATTTCTCCTGAACGAGAGTTAAATTGAAAAATCCAACAACGTCATGACATAGAGAGAACATTTCTCTATTTTTTGAAACTAATCCGAAACCTCTAGCTTGAAAAATAAAGTACGAAACGTTGTAATCGTAGAAAGAGATTTTGAGAGAAAATGTTGTGCAGTGGTTGATCTACTATAGGACTTCTTGGAAAATGCTTGTAACGTTTTGGTGCAACATCGTACAGGGCTGTATGACGTCTCATTTTGATTACAAAACTCTGCTCTACTAGCCTAACTGTTCAGAAGAAAGTTCAATTGCATAAATATCCCGAAAAGAAATATTATTTGAAGACCCTGTTTTCCGAAACTCCTAGAAAACTCGCTCGAAAACCAAGGAAAACAATATCTGGGGCTGAAAGCAACACAGATTCTGAAAGTAGTAACTTTAGGCTATCCTCGTATGAGTTTATCTCAAAATCGACTTTTTGCCTGAAAATCGATTTTTGTAAGTGTGTATGGGGAGAGGGAGGGTTTAAGACCGTAAATGGATGAAGTGGTAGTTTTCATTATTCTGAGTGTTTTGATGATGTTATATGTGTATACCAAAGCTAGAAGAGGAAAACATATGATGCATGAGTAGAAATGATAGTGAAAATGAGAATGGAAATTTTGAATGCGCTGTAGCAATAGGGTTATATCAAGGATTTTACATTTTTTTTCGTCAATTATGTAATGGTGCCATTAATTTACACTTTGATTGTTGAATCGTCATTTCATATGATTCTAAATAAATGACAGAAAAACACACCTGTTCCAAATGTGGTAGTGGTAAAAGCTCGGGTATCTTCACAAGTAATGGATGTCAAATCGTATTTTTTCGAAAACATTCCGATGAACATCGTCAACTATTCGGAAAAGAATTAGAAAATGTTATGTATAACATGATTTATTACAACAGTCATTAACAAATGACATCATTTAGATGTAATTTGATTATTTTTGTGATGTCTCTCATCCCTCCTTCCTACTACTATCACTCAATTGATTCCTTCTCCTTCCTGATTGATGCCATCATCAGACAACATTTCCATTTGAGAAAGTGGAACTCCTTTTTCTTGTTACTGCACGATCTGCATGTAATAAATGTAGAAAACAAAGAAAGAATTTCTATCGATTCGGTGATTGAATGGCAGTGTTTATACCTATTGGAATTGATATTGACAAGCACATGATCAAATCCTATTCGATCATTGCACTTTCCTGCCTTACAACTAAAAAAGATAAATTCTACTCTGTTTAGTAGAATATTCTAGAAATGGTGATATCATTGCTCCCCTAAAACTGAACACATAACATCTGAATGATGTCAGAGAGGCAACACAGCCAAACGATGATCATCCAATACTCAAACAAACTCAACAATGAGAATAAGAATCAATTAAAAAAATACGATCAGCAGCTAAAGAAGCACGTCAAGATTCTCAACACAATTACATGTTGAAAACAAAGATGAAACTATTGATACATTTGGTTCAATAGCAACTGAATTACCGATAGCACAAGAAGATGATGATTTGATAGAAACAGATTTAAAAACAATGGATGGAAAGATTAATATTGTTCAAAAGTTAACTGAATCAATCATCGAATCAAGTGATCTAGAAGTCTTTTCAGAAAATTATTTTATATTAAGCAGGATATAAAGTACTGCAGATAATGTACATCCTGAAGTATTCAACTGGCTCTGATGTATTTTGAGTGAGTTATGAATTTTTTAATATTAGCAGAAAACAGCCGGAAAAGACTAGTTTTCGTAAAACTAAGAATTCGCTAGATTTTCTGAAAAGAAAACATTGCCACAAGAGTCAGTATCCTAGTTTTCCTCCTTTATCCTAGTAAAAGTCTTAGACACTTCTTAAAATTATCTTACGTAAGATCGTTTAAAATCTTAATAAGATTTAATGACTCTTCTTTCATTCATCCTTTTGTTTTGCTCTCATTCATTCATATAAGTAACACTGAAACTATGACTGATTTTACAATTATTTTTCTTCCCTCTGATAGTATTTGGTCTCTCGAAAATGCTCAACAACTTTTCAGAGAGGGTGCATGCAAGTCAAGATTCATGGTTGGATACCCGAAAATATGAAATTTTTCTTCATTTTTCAATACTGTTCAACTGCTGCTTTGGATAATGCGAGTTAAAAATTCGAAAATTCTCAGCGAATCTTGAATGAATATTATTAAGAAAACGTCGTCATTCTTACTATTAAAATCCTAACAAGTTCTTGCCTAATCTTGAAAAAATCTCAGACAGTAAGATGCACCCAGGGCAGCCTTGCAGTGAAATTTATTTTTCGACACTTCATACACCATTCGATAGAGAATTTCGCGGTGATCACGAATATCACTTCCAAGGCTCTCAGAACCCTTTCCTCACTG